CTGACTACAACCTCCTGTCAGGTAGTTGTAGAGGGTGATAAGGTCTCCCCTGAGCCTCCTCTTCTCCAGGCTGAACACCCCCAGGTCCCTCAGCCTCTCCTCATGGCACTTGTGCTCGAGTCCCTTCACCAGCCTCGTTGCTCTGCTCTGGACCTGCTCCAGCCCCTCAATGTCCCTCCTGAGCTGAGGGGCCCAGAACTGTACACAGTACTCAAGGTGTGGCTTCATCAGCACCAAGTACAGGGGAAGAATCACCTCCCTGGTCCTGCTGACCATGCTTTTCCCAATCCAGGCCAGGATGGCATTGACCTTCTTGGCTACCTGAGCACAGTGCTGGCTCATGTTCAGCTTTCTGTCTATCCAAACTCCCAGGTTCCTTTCTGCCTGGCTGCTCTCCAGCCACTTTCTTCCCAGCCTGGAGCGCTGCATGGGATTGTAAAACATTTTATGCTTTAATATATCAGAGCACAGAAATCAATTGTTTGTTAGTTTTATCAATGCAATTTTTTTCAATTTCCTTTTCCCACCCGATCTTTTTTTGCAACATTAAGAAAAGTACATAACCTTTGTCCAAAACGGACACTGCACCTGTGCATACTTAGAAATTATCCACTGCCTTCCAGTTTGGTGCGTTCTGTTATTCATTAGCAAACAAACTAGGCTACCCAGCTTGTGTGAAAATGTAAAAACAGAGTATCAAGTAAAATTTTCTGAAGCCCAAACATCCATGAACCAGATGTCAATTCGTATTTGCTTAATACCCCCCACCTGGCCAAAAAGCCCAACACCAAAAATACCCCAACAACACAGCACAGAAGGGCAGGATACAACTGTTTGGGCAGAATTTACCCAGTGTTTCAAAGGAGCCAAGTCCCCTATTAGAAACCTGTCCTAGGTTACAATGTAGGCTGTAACAAATAGTATGTATTCTATTATCATGTTCACAAGCTGTTAAAGCAGGTGGGGCAGTGCTCCTACCATGTTATACCAGTTATCTCCTACCATGACTCATCCTTGTTAACTCCCTCAGGGGGCTATCTCTGTTTAATGGGCTGTCAAGGACCCATCCCATCACCTATAGAATTACATCCTCCCATTGTGAGATGCTTCACCCCCAGGGGAGGAGCCAAGCATCCCCACCTGGATATAATCTGGGGTTTGGACCAGCACAGGGAGCCCATACCTACTGGATTCCCAGAAGACAAGAGCTACCACTGGACCTTCAGGTGAAGACCAGATCTACAGGATCACTGCTCCAACAGTACGATCGCTCCAGGAGGACTGCAGCCACCATTTAATTGGACTACTACCAACACCCTGACAGGGTGTCAGGTTGCTTTCAGACTCTGTCAGTGGTTTCTTTTTGCACTGTTGCATTTGTTCTTTTGTTTTCCCTATTAAATTGTATTTCTGACTGGAATCCCTCACTGGTTTGCTTTCAAACCAGCACAAAACCTTAAGCAAATAGTGGAGTCCAGCAACAGAACTATTTCATTCTTGGACATCCCACCTCTGTAACACTGGCAATTCAAAGAACACATATCCAGTGATCTGGAGTAAGAATCACACACTGAGACCAGTGCCCTAAATCAGATTCCTTCTTAAATATCGGACTTCTGACATTCCACATTTAATACGTTTGTTTAGCGAAGTGCTTCTGTCCTCATGCTACAAAGCATCAAGTCCATGGCAAATTTTCCAAAGCAACCTAGAAAGTTTATTATATAATTGGAGGAGATGGAGGTTTTTAGCATTTTCCTCTAAGCATCTATTTTCACCCTGGCATGACCGTGCCCTTCATTTTCTGTGAAAAAATCCCCAGCACAAAATCAATGTGAGACTGTATGTGTAAAAAAAAAAAAATCTGTTATCTTTGCTGATAAACCTTTCTTGGAACTGTTTTGAGGGGATCAGGCCTGCTCTGAGGTTAGTATCTCCAACACGCTTTGCTTGCCACCATGTGGGATCATCTTGGCTCACAACTTCGAGGACATGTCGTCTCTTAAATGGCAGTCCAGCCTCCTGGCAAGGAATGGCTCTGTCTTCTTTGGGATTATAACAGAAAAGCGCCCTCATGAACACCTTCAAAAGAAATTAACACATCATTTCTTCTTGTCCTATTTGGAATTTCAAACTGCATTTGAAAGGCTTTCCTCAATACTAGCACTGATACACTTCATCTCTCCATCAACTTTACTGCACTCAAACATGGAAACCTAGCAAACAGCATCTGTATTTTGACTTACTCCCTCATGCAGAAAAATTAACTTTTAAGTGCATACCCATTCCTTATATATTGGCATTGTGGAACATGAAACTCCAAAGATTAAAGTCCCAAGACACACAGATTACAGTCCACATTAACTGCAAAATGCAATAAACAAATGGGGGAGAAAAAAAAAGGGGAGAAAGAAAACTTCAAAACATAGGGAGAAAAAAAAATGAGGGGAGAAAACCAAAAATGGATTTATGGCAGAGTTAATCAGTTTTTATAAAGACTGTCATTAAAATGTTCCTTCAATGCATCAAAATCTACTATTTAACTTTGGATTTGTATCTTAAAACTATTTAACACATTACAGGAGAAGCACTTTAAAAAGTGATTTATGGGCTTCAAGGAAAAAACAGGCAACCAAGAGCAGGGAACCAGAACGAGAAACTGACAGAGGAATCCTGTAAGGGAGCAGCTGAACAGTAAGTCATTGCTGATGGAGGAGGGCAGATGCAGCACTCAGAGATATGTGCTCATGTTTGCAGTGGGCTAATGGGATCACATGATGAGTGCAGCTCTGTGCATAGGTCTGCTTTGACTCAAGTGAGTGGCAAAATGCCCAGAGATAATGGGCAGATTGCAGCTGTCATGGTAAGAGGAGACTAGCAGGAAAACCCATTTTAATTTCGTGAACCAAGAAACAGCTAGACTTCAGAAACACTATGAAAGAACATGTGCTAAGATGATGAAGAGGAGAAAAGTCATCCAAGTAATTCTGCTGAATAAGAGGGTACCACCCAGGAAAGCGCTCTTTGTGGTTCAGGTATGTGCTGTGACACTTCTCCCTGGAACTGCAGCAATCTTGCATTTACAGAGATGCATAAATGTGTGCTTCCGTACTTCAGTTACACACCTTGCTATCTTTCAGACGATCTTCTTCTTTGATAGCTGGAATTATCTTTAATGTTATTGACCCCTGAGACTGAGCCTGAGAAAGAGAGAAATGATTTTACTCTAAAAGCAGGACAAGGATACAATGCAGACTATTCAAGCTCCAGTTAAGGAGCTAGCGGCTGTCTCTTCTTCTCAGAACTTTTAACAGGCCAAGCTAATGCACTGTTAATAACAGAGACTACCATTATGCTCCATGAATCCTCCACAGCAATGCCTTGCTCATGGAGACATCTGCAGTAACTATTTGGCTAGACCATATTAAGATCTGCATTAAAATTCTTTCATTTGCTTTTAGCAACTGCATTAATTTCTTGCCTACCGTTCACAGGGCATTAAATACTTCTGTGCCTGATGGTACAACACTAACTAAAGCTTTTGCAGACTAACCATTTTGAAATGCTGCTTTGAAAAATACTGCTGTGTTTTCCCCACATAGTGGTTCACCCTAAGGTACTTTTCACCTTAGAGTGAAATGTAAATATCTACAAAATAAACATCTACTTTCAGTCTGGAAATCTTTGCTAATAAGTGTCAAGTATTAGTTACAGTCAAATAAAAAGCACTTCTAGGTGCTTCAGAAATCTAGAGTAGATTTATCTGATCTAATTCAGATGCCTTGTTGTGGATGAGATTAGCTGTGTAACAGAGAAGCCTGCTATTCATACAGACTAAAAGGGAAACAGACAAACACTGGTACCTCTGAAAATAATAAACATGGAAACTATTTCACTGCAGGCATTAATTTACATAGGGCAGATGTAATTAGCAATGACACAGGACAGATTTAATCAGGTTACACAGGACAGATGAACAACATCTCAGGGTCCCCACAAACAAAGCTTTACACACTATTTCAGAATATGGTTTTGATACCCACCCACCCTCCCAAAGTTCAAAGCAGCCCCTGTCATTATTGAGGATTATTTCCATCTAAATTTAAATCAGGTGCTGCAACTGACTTCAAATACTTCAGTCTTCTAGGGTTGCAATTCTCCTTACTGCGTCCCTAACTCTACTGCACATCAAGACAAGGGGCAAACACGTCACAAGAAAGTCAGAGGTAAAGAAGCTAAGAGCTGTGACACTTCCCACCAGTATTTGTGGGTATTCAGGTTAGAGAAACTCAAAGCAAGCATTTGCTAATGTCATCAGGAATTTGCTGGTAAAGAACAGACTGACAACTCCAGCAGACACAAAGCCAAGACTTTCTTCAGCTTCCTAACATACTGTATTATGAATAAACTGCTCATCTCCTAGGAATGTACTTTTAATTTGCAATTTGCTTGTCATAAACAAAGCATTAAAGGGAAGTTCTTGACAGAGCAACATGTTAGCTTTATATGTGTATCTTACTTGGTACCGATCCAGTTCGCAGAAGTTTCTGAAGTCAAAAGGAGAAGACTAATCCACTGGGAGAAGAAAAACTCTTAATGCAAAGACAAGCAGGGATTGCATCTTTTAGCTCTATATTTTAAACTCATGGTTAAATTTCATCATCTACTACAATTACTAGATCACCCAACAGAAAAGATCTTGAAATGAAAATCAGTGCAGACCAAAATCTGACTTATTTCTTCCGGTCGTTTATGAAGCACAGTAATACCATTGACTTCTCTTAGTTCATCTCCAACATGGACAAGACCTGAAAAAATGGTAAGTAAATTAAAATAGGTCTACAGACTGGAAAGCACTGCTCCTCTGATGTCCAGCCTAAGTCATTAGTGTATACCTCTTCTCCTCCCTCATCCAGCTTAATGAATTTAGGATTAGAGCCAAGCACCTTTGTCAACAACATGACTTGAAGTCTCCTGCCCTTATTCCATATAGCGTTTTTTTTCATGCAGCAGTTTCAAAGGATACCAGCATGCAGATGGACATGTGGCAAAATACTCTGGAAAAACCACTACCACTCTAGTTAGACCAGCATTAAGAATGCAAATCTGGAATAGTTTCATGAGGATGATCAAATCTTGTACAGCCAGGAGACACACTGCTGGCAGGAATGACATGCCTGTCGGCTGACAGATGAACACTACACAGTCCCAGCATGAATGCTGAACTAGTTCTTTTTAGCAAGCCATAAAGAGGCTCTTAGAAGTTTTTGGTTTGCTTATCCAGTTAAGTAACAAATGTTGTACTTGTCTTATATACAGCTACCCCTAATCAACACAAAAGAATTTCTCAGTAAAGCAAACAGAAAACAACACATGATACACCAAATAAACCAAGGTAGTAGATTAAAAGTAAAAAAAACCCCTTTTCTTTCTTCTAAAGCTCAAACCAATTCTCCCATCTCCATTTGCATTTTTCATAGCAGCTATTTTAGAAAAAAATACAAGTAAAGTAATAGGTTACTAAAGAAATATAAAAATGCTAAGCATATGCTTAGAAAACTTCAGAAGTTTACAAATGACATTTAAAAATCCCCTTCTCTTCAGAAATTTACCACTGCGATCAGCTGCACCACCTCTCATGATTCTTGCTACAATCACAGCTCCTGTATGCTCATCTCTTCTGATGGTAGCTCCCTGAAATAAAACATCCCGCCCAGAAACAGTGAGAGATTTGCTTAGAATACAGGAAGCAGTGCAATAACATGTATGCTAATGTGTCTTTTCAACTGGAATTAATTTCTCCTATAGATTTTCTCTTTCTCCTTGAAAATTTTCACCATTATTTTGTCCACACCACATGATAGGAAGGTGTGTGCACCTCATATTCTGCTGACTTGGCTGAGTGCTTACACTACCTACATTACTGTGGTGATTGAAGTCAGTCAAGTGTCCAAAACAGAGTTTGTTACAACAAGCTTTCTTCTCTTCTGAATCTTCATACAATATAATCAGCACTTTTACATATAAAAGTAACAAAACCCAAGTAATGAGGTATTTTTTTCCCCCTTCTGGTACCTATGCTGGCAATATAAAGCTTTAATCAGGAATTAAGTAACCGCTCTCTTTCACTACTGTCACACAAAGAGCAGATTTCTTCCTCAACACAACTGTTTTCTCTTAGAAAATCAATTCTTCCATTTCCATTTGTACAAAACTAGTCCCTCAACAATGTAATGTTTACATACAGGCATCAAGCACACTCTTACCATACCTCACTGACTTTCATGCAAATTAAGATACTAAGTCACTGAATGTTAGCTACAGCATGAAAGAATTAATATGCATGATAAGCATAATTGCTTCAACACATGCAGTGTTCCCTGTGTTAACTGGCCTTTTAAACCCAGGGCCATAAAGCATCTCAATGCAAAACTGTGAAGATGTGTTTACCAAAGTTTTCTTCTTATGTCATTAGCTTCAGAATATTTCTAGTTTTGGAAGACTATTTGACAACATCCTCGAGTATCTCCTCCATACTCACAATAACACACTTGCACTATAGTTTTATGATTAGAGATGGGTTATCTAATATGTACCAAGGGTTCTTTGTTTTTCACTAGTCGAACAATTTTCACTGATTCTTCATCAAAATCATCATCAAAGTTATCAGGTAGAGGTGGAAGGACTGGGTCAAAGTTCTTCTGTGCTACAGTGTCATGCACTATAAGCATTGCCTGCATAAAGGAAATAGAAAACAGTCATGTAATGGAGTAACTTAAGAGTTCTCAGTTCTCATGTTTCCAATATTACAGCAAACTTAAACTTCTTCCTTTCTACCCTCACCACAAAACTTACAAAAGAGATTTTTTCCAATATTACAGCAAACTTAAACTTCCTCCTTTCTACCCTCACCACAAAACCTACAAAAGAGATTTCGCAATTATCTTAGCCATCATGTAAACTATATACTGGTACTTGTTGAAATTTAAAATAAATCCAGGCAACAACAAAGCCCAGCCTAAAAAACCTCAGAAATGCAAAGAGGTATCCTTTTCTTTTCTGCTCCCTCAGAAAATATTAAGGAGGGGAGGGAGGGAAGACAACACGGTGGCATTATGCCAGAAAGGCAAATGTGTATTCTCAATTCCCTTTGCATCCTAAAGCCTGTGTGGAAAGTCAGATATAAAATCTGCAGTTTGCAGGAGGTCTTTGCTTTCTCTTAGGGATGCTTCAACGCAACTTTCCCATTACAAAATGCTCTACTGCAATTCCACAAAGGAATTTCATTAAGGTCCCCCGTGTGTTTTTTTACCTTCAGGTGTGGTGTTGACAACAGCTGAAGTAGCTCTTTTTCTTCATTAGTCACTGGTGCAGTCTGCAACTCTTCTATTACCTTAGAAATACAAATTTACAACCACAAAATTAGAGTCCACCAAACAAGATCATGCATTTGCATTTCTGGCAAGTGTTTGATCATCCATCACAACAGTGTGCACAGATTGAAACCAACCTCAATTAATAGTGCATGAAGCCTAAAAGAAACAGAAGTTGCTTCATCTGTTTTTATTGAATAGTACAGGAAGACATCATTAGAAATCAGAATCCTACTCCCTAAACATACATTTTAAGATTTACTATGCCAACATAATTTCAAGAATGAGTTTTGAAATTTTAAATTCTATATGGAATCCACAAATGATATGTGAAACAACACTCTTGTGCTTGTACTACAATAAAGGAGTTTAAACCTCTCTGTAATCACGTAGTATTACCTGTGTGGAACATGCACCATAACTTCTCTTGTTCCTCTGCAGAGCCTGGATACCAAAATATGCCCTGGAGTCTCAGGCCTTGCAAACAAAAGATTAGAGAAGTAATGGAGACACGTTTTCGCTGGGCTAATTGAGTGGTAGGAGAGAGAAGGCAGGGGATGGAGGCAGAAGGTATTGAGGCAAGAGACATTTCCTTACCCCTGGTTAGGAGTTCTAGACAGGGAAGTCGTACAGTTCTGTACAAAACTTCTCCTCTGTTGTTTTGAAGATGGAAATTTTGTACAGCGTGAAAGGCAGCAGTGCCAAAACTTTTATGAAGGCAGTGGACTCTATGTGACGAAGGGCAGAGGGGGTATGCTGCAGGTTAAGATGAGGCAGTGGGGTCTCCTGACCTTGCAAAGGGAAGAATTGTAGCTCATAAACCTTCCACAGCCCTTTGCTACTGTTTGGAAGGAAACAGGCCCAAAGCATTTGTAAAACACCCATCAAATGCAATGTAAATTTCACTTTTTCAGGCACATGGCATCATGCCACACACAAACCTAAAATACAACTTTGCTCTGTGAACAGACTCGTGGATGAATTGAGACCAGCCCTGTGGAGAATGACTTGAGGATACTTAATCACAATGTGCACTTGCAGCCAAGAAAGCCAATTGAATCTCCCTCAGTTCTCAGACCCCTCCCACCTGGATTACTGCATCCGGTTCCAGGGTCCCCAGTACAAAACAGACATGGACTTGCTAAGAGCACATCCAGAGAAGGGCCATGAGAATGCTCAGAGGGCTGGAACACCTCTCCTATGAGACAGTTGAGGTTGCTCATCTTGGTGAGTAGAAGGCTCTGGGGACACCTTATTGCTGCTGCTCAGCATATAAAGGGGGCTTGAAAGAAAAACAGAGAAAAGCCCTTTACCAAGGCCTGTAGTGATAGGACAAGAAGTCGCAGTTTTAAAATGAATAAGGGCGGATTCAGACTGGCTACAAGGAAGAATTTTGCTTTAGGACCGGTGGTGAGAGGTTGGAACAGGTTACCCAGAGAAGTTTTAGATGCCCTACCATTGGAAATGATCTAAGTCAGGTTAGACCGGGCTTTGAGCAACCTGACCTAGTGAAAGGTGGCCCTGCCCATGGCTGGGCAGTTATGCTAGATCATCTTTTAAGGTCCCTCCAACCTAAACCATTCTATGTGAACAGTAATACTGCTTGGGTTGTAATGTTTTTAAACCTGAATGGATTTAAGATAGAATGCTTAACTGGGACAGCCCATTGCCAAGAAAGGACTGAATGCTTTTTGCAGCCTTTCCCTTATGAAGGCCATTAATAATATCCTTTCATTCAACCTAACCCTGTTCATCCTCACTAGACACTTAATGACTTCGCATTTTTGAGTTCCCATTTCCTTGATCAATTATGAGCGAAACTAGCCAACAGATTACAGAGACAGCTGGGGAAGATGAGAACTACACATATAGCACAGTTGCAAAGCTTTGATTCGTTAGAAACGCAGGTGTACATAGTAGAAAAATTAGGAGACGAGGATTTTTACTCACATCTTCAACTAATCCTGCTGCACTATGTAAAACAGGAGTTGGACTCTGCCTTTCATAATGACGGAGTTTTTCATGAATCTGAAAAAGATCAGAGATATTTCAACAGAGAGATACAAAACTTCCAAAATATACCTACAGTGGCATACTTTTCTATTTAAGGAATAGAATTTTTCTGAGATGGGTCAGAAATATAATCTCTCTTGGTGCTATTATAGTTTCATTTAAGAGTCTTTAAGTTTTCTTTTTGCTCATGGTAGTTGCACAGACACCCAGAAAGTCTGTTAAGACTCTAGCAGCATAAGGGAAAAGATGAAGCCATTTGATACTACTTCTTAGCTACGGAGCACTGTATTTGCATTTCGGCAATCCGAGCAAAAATGTCTGGGGTTTTTCTGAACAAAATATGTTAAATGTCAGAAGATCTTAATGTCTGCGCTTAAACACACCTATGCTTTGGTCAGTATGGAATTCTTAAAAAAAAAAAAAGCAGCTTTGGCAAAGTAAATGGTTGATAAATCAAGGGAACAGAGAATAAGTAAATTGTAAGGAAAATATACATACATAAAAAAACTTTTACCTTCATCAGGTAGCTGAGACTCTTCTCACTGAAGACATCCCTAAGGAATCCCATTTCCTCTTTATGATTTGAATCAGGTCTTAGCTGAGATGTCAAAAGGGCCAAAGTTTCATGCAATCCTAAATTCAAATTCATGACAGAACAAAAGCTTTGTATATAGTGCTTCTCATGGGACCTTCTACTGCAGATTTAACATCTACTGCACTGACTTGGGTACCATCTTGGCGACTGTTAAGCTTGCAGAGATACTCATGTTTACCTAGCACTCGTTCTGTAGCACGCCCTCTGTAAGTGGCGAACACAGTTTAAGATGCAACATCTATCATATTAAGGCAAAAGCTACCAAAGCAATACATATTTTTAAAAACATTACCTTTGGAGTTTCCCCCTTCATGTCAAATACCCTTTGTTTCTAGAACAACTACCACTCTAACAAACTTGGAACAACCAGAGTGCCACAGCAGACTCACAAAACGACGGAACCGCCTCCTTTGCCGCACAGCTACCACCTCTACTTCCCAGCAACTTTGCTTACAAGCATTATCCTGCTCTTAATACCTCAGAGATACCTCTAATAAGCTAGGCCTGACCAGAGGAAGAAAGGACTGGTGCAAACTGCCACTGCAGCGGAAGCAAAGCTTGAGGCTAGTTTTCTAAAAAGTGCTTAAATCACTAATATCCCAATTTTGCAGTGCACAGGGCCAGAAAAATGTCAGGTTCTTCCTGGTGAACCATGTCTCAGCAGACAAAATCAAAACAAACAGGAAAAAAAAAAAGAAAGAAAGGGGGGGTGGGGCTCAGGCTGAAATCCGTTCCTGTGGGTATTCTCTCCACAAACCTTAGTGCATTTGGATCCAGGAGACTCAAACTCACTTCTGATTTAACACTATCATTTAGTACAGCATACTGTAGAAGCTGGCTAGCTAGCTTTGAAGGCAATCGCTGGTTTTTAAGTCAAAAGGAAGAATATTAACAAAGTTTACCAACCCCTACTCAGAAAATATTAAGAAGTGACACAGGAAGCAGCAGATATATATGGGTTGATCTTTAATAAACAGGCACAGAAGCCACTGTTATAGTGAGTGGCCCAAGTTTGTCCATAGGAACCCACCTACCATTCAGGTGCTCTAGGGTTCTTTGGAAAATAGGCGTGTCCTGACTATTATTTCATCTTTTATGCTTCACCTCCCTTGTATTCTTTCAGGTAACTGCTAAAAAATCTAGCTGAACTATCTTATTTTATTTTACTACAATTTGAATTAATTTCCCGTGTGAAACACATGCATTGAGATTTCAGTCAGTGTTCTGTTGAACATGCAGGTTAGTTACCTGAGTCTCCTGAGAGCACTGGCATGGCTTTGTTCTCAATCTTAAATCAACACAACAGTTTCTTCTCTCTGAACTGCAACTCAGAGGCAGTCCTGAAACGAGTAAAGACAATACCTAAGCTCAAGAATGCAAGAAAAATCGCAAGTATTTAAAAATAATAAATTCCTAGTACATCTTTCTTTCAAGTGTTCAGTTTAACCTGAAACAAGCAACTTTTCAGTACCTGAAGGGCCTACAAGGGAGTCAGAGAGGGACTCTGTGTTAGGAACTGCAATGATAGCACAAGGGGTAATGGATTCAAACTGAAGGAGGGGAAGTTTAGGTTAGATATTAGAAAAAAGTTTTTTACTCTAAGGGTGGTGAGACACTGGCACAGGTTGCCCAGGGATGTGTTAGCTGCCCCAACCCTGACAGTGTTCAAGGCCAGGCTGGATGAGGCCTTGAGCAACCTGATCTAGTGAGGAGGTGTCCCTGCCCAGGGCAGGGGGTTGGGACTAGATGATCTGTAAGGTCCTTTCCAACCCTTAAATTCTATGATTCTGCCACACAAGTAACAAAACGAAAAATATTATGTTATACAAATAACCATATCATATCTTGAATAAAGGTGATGGTAAAGAGAGCATCTCTGAAGATAATTTTCGCATGCATAAGTAACTGTCTGAAAAGGCAAAAAAGAACAGATGTTTAAAAGCACCAATAAGCATCACATGCACAAATAAAGAGAGCGTGCAAGACTATGCCACATGACAAGATGTTCTGGGGCTGCCTAAAAGCACATCTCAAAGAATTTACATCCCCCTGAAATTCTGATGCAGACCGTGCTACAACTACATGCAACTCACTAAAGCTAGTAGGACTGTCACTCTATCAACCTTGGTCATGTGCACTAAGGATGCTACAATAAATGAGGTTACTTTCACTGCTCAGAAACTGGTTTAGATTTCTCTTGTCACTGAAATCAAATGACTCCAGAGCCAATTTTTAAAAAAGCAAAACTGACCTATGCTTATAATCTCCAGTCCAAGATGAAACACTGTGTTCCAGGTCACTTAAAATCTTGTTTAGGCTTCTAAAATTCATCAGACCAGTATCTGCATAAAAATAAACAAAGTAACACCACACGTAAAGGATTACAAAGAAACACAGGATACCCTGACACTTGGCTAAATGCAATAAAGGATGTTTCTTGTGCTTTTATTTGTAGATATCTGATATTTTGATTACATGACACCACTTTGATGTTTTCCAATTCAACAGTTTCTTGATTAGCTGCCTGAAAATACCATAGTACTGCATGGAAAATTAGCATATACCTATTTAGCATTTTCTATATTCCCAAGTTTCTCTACAATGTACTAATATAATAAGCCCAATAGTCACCTGTGCTTTGCACTCTATATTTTCTATCACTATGATTAATTAGTCTACCTGCGTATCAAACATAAACTGAGTTCTCTAAGTAAATGAACTGAGTCTCAAAATTTCACTCTAACCCATGGGTTGTACTACAGGGCATGGCATATACTATGCATTTATTTCAAAACTTTTATTACCTATTGCTTAGAAGAAACAAACTTTTCACCCCCACACACACTTCATGCCAAAAGAAACATAGAGACAATTTATTCAGCTGCTCTGGTTCTTTGACAATGGTATTTCATCTGACACACATTTAAAATCTTCTCAAACCATTAAGAAAGAGAACTTTAATTGCATATTCTGTCTTTGCAATGATGTGTGCTTCCTACAGTCAAACTTATTTAGCACCAAACCCCAAGAAAACCAGTTATTTTCCAGACTCTTAGTGAAAAAGCACCTCACACAGGAATCTGGAAAACACACATTTTAGCATCTCAAAGTTGTGACAGCAAACTCGTAGCACGAGGATTAGGAGAGTTAGGCAGAGCAATCAAGATGGAGGCTTCCCCTAGAGGCACTTTCTATGCTTCACAAAAATCCTGTTACACAGGACTGACTGGAACGAACACTCCAGATGAATGAAAAGCATTCCATATCCAGGTCAATACTCAGGGCTGGCTCCCTAAGGTATTAAATTCAGCCCTAGCAAGCGATATTTTGCAAGAGGGTCTCAAAACCATACATCTGTTCTCTCATAACTGTAGTGTTATGAGAGAACATAACACTACAGTGTTTCTCTTTAAAAACGTCTGAGGCACCTTCCTTGCCTAGGAAAAGGTCTGTAGATACTTGGAAAGGGCTAAACAAACTGAACTGATGGTCTCTGGCATGGGGTCAAAGTAGGGGATTAAACAGAAGCATAATGCGATTTGGCATATCCTCATTAATTTGGAAAATAAACCTATTGCGGTTCACAGAATAATATGACATAAAGCCTCTGTAATCCAGACAACATGACCCAAAGCTGCGGATCTCATTTCAGAAAGCAACTGCATTTTAACATCTTTCCGTGAGAAAAAGCGATTAGGTCAGAAAGTACATCTATATGCTAACAGGGCCACAGCTGATAGCCTTTACACAGGATTTTTCCTCACTCTGCCTTTACTTTCAGTAAGCGCCCAAATCTGAGCTAACTAATCCTTCGCTGGATATTACAGCTACTTTAGCACTAAATGAGCGATTAACTAATCCTTCGCTGGATATTACAGCTACTTTGGCACTAAACGAGCGACTACTCTGACGGCTAAGCGAAGCACGCAGAAACCCGCACACGGACCCTTCTCGGCACCGCGGGGCCGGGCTCTCCCTCCGAGCCCCCACACCGGGGGCGCAGCTTCCCGGCCCAGCACCAGGGCCCGG